TGTTGCAACTGTGCTGTCGAGGTTTGAGCAGCTTTGTGGTGGAGCACCAGGAGAGTTTCAAACGTGTGTGGAATCACGAGTGTAAATTCATGTGCCTTGGCAGCCCTAGAGTTTTTCAGATCCAATGAGAATTGGTGTAGTTTATCATCTGATTGGTGGTGACCGGAACCATGGAATTTTGAATAACTTTCCATTCAGTTGGGAATAATCATCATCCCAACTGACTAATATTTTTCAGAGGGGTAGGTATACCACCAACCAGTCATAGTTTACCCCATGTATTTCGCCCAAAGAACTCCAAAAATATGGGTTATGATTCAATCTGACTTGAATGTATCGATTCAAAAGCAAACAGTTGAATTTCTTGTAGCAATGAACTTGTCTTATGGCAGTTGAATGATGCTGTGCTGAAACCAGCAGTCCGGTGCCATTGTCATGGCACTGGCGTTTGGGGAACCATGGGGAACCTGACCGGTAGGAGACGTCGAAGTCTGAAGTCTTTAAGTAGACCTGTGAACCTGACATTTGTCTTCGAGGAAGATGTTCCTGAAATACCAAAGATGAAAATGATGAAAACTGAATTACGATTATTGCAACTTCGGTTGGGTATGAGTTGATAGTTCTGTAGGTGGCAAATTGATCTATAGGAACTATATATGGACATAATCACCATAAACTCCACTTAATCAACCCCAAAAAAGATAGAACAGCGTCTTGGAAAGAAATTCGATGTGTCACTCCCAAACTAGAATTGGTGTCCACTTTCCTACCTTGTACCTTTTCCCCTTTTTTTCTTTGGTTCCTTTCGATGTCGCGTTTGACCGGCGAACCCGACCGAGGATCTCAGCCGCCACGGTCTTCCTCTGGGTCTCCTGCGTGTTGGCGATCTTGATCACCGCCGGGATGTTTTGGCTCTTCCTGCAGAACCACATGGCGCGGCCGGCGTTTGACGTTTTACGAAACGAGTTGCGTTGCGTGGAAACGCGTGGAAACACGAAGTTTTTCTAGCACTGTTGTGGTGAAACAGCTTGGGATTTCAGATTTTGAAGGTGGTACTTCAATGTACTTCAACAACATTACTATGTTTTCCCGGTATATTGGCCCAAAAATCTGGGTCCCCCCGATTCCCATTTATCATCATTCCCCCCATTGGTGAGGAAAAGTCATGTGGAGACGGTGGGAATGTAGGGGAGAAGTTGTGCGGTCGTTTGGATTGGGATCAGCTCTATGTGTTTCCATCATAGAACATTTTGGGCATTAGCGGTTGGTCAAGCATTCCATTTTCGCATAGGCGGGTCAACATCGCCATGCTGCCACACACTTTGCCCTGTGTACCTTGTCGGATGTTTCTTTTTTTTTTCCGAGAAACACTGAGTTTCTGGAAGGTCTCAAGTGAAAACAACATCGATTACTTCTGATATATGATTGAATATATAGTTATATATACACTGCACTATATAATTATATATATATATTTATGTTTATATTTATATTTATATTTATACTTATATAATCTTATATACGTATATATATATATATATACAGATACACGTATGTGCAATATGCATATGTATAAATGTTTGAATTGGGGGTGGCCACTCTATTTGAAAAACGCCGCTTAAATGATGGATTTTCTACCGCAGTTGACATTCCACGGAGGACCGGACCGGACCGTTAGGACGTCCCGAATGACGTGTCGGGACGAGATGGCAAAGGGTAAATGATCCCTGGTTTATCACCAGGAATGGGTGGCATAAACCCTTCAAAAATGAGATTAGTCTAAAAAAATTGGGAAAGCCCACTAATTTACCACATCATGTTTCTTGAAAACCCTGTTCCTTCTCCTTGAAAAACCGATTCGAATCATCAAAGCAGTCTCTGATTTAATTCGAGATCAGTTCACCGTTGTTCTATCCCAATCGGCTGACTGATTGTTGAATTCTCAACTGGATATGCATCACCAGGTGAAAAAAAAGCGAACCATATCTATCAATATCTATCATGGTTATCAATCTTGTCTAATTCATGACCTTTGAAACATCTCAAAAACCCATTATCATATGTGACATTACCTTGATGATAGTGTATACTGTATAATCATTGTCATATCATGTTCTTTTTTTCTTTGAAGCCCATGTTCACTGCTGAACCACCGGATTTTGAGGCACGGTCTGTGGCTTGATGGCTCCCATCTTCTACGGCCTTTGGTTTCGCCTTACCTGTCGCGAGACCACGCGCAAGTTTCGCAATGAACACGGAGAGTCACCCACCTTCGAGGACTTCTGCGATGCGTTCTTAAAGGGCGTTTGTGGCATGACTTATGGCCGGCCTCACCATACATTTTTGCTGGTTGGTGGTTTGGAACATGACTGGATGATTTTCCATTTTCTATATGGGATCATCCGAAACCCATTGACGAACTCATATTTTTCAAGATGGTTAAAACCACCAACCAGTAATGGTTGGGTTTGGGGAATAATTACTCCCATGTTTATCACTTGTTTCAATGAGTGTAATTTGCCAAATAGATGTGGGTCCCCAAAACATACAAACGAAAACTGTTGTTCAAAATACATTGTTGATTTGCCTGCCTTTCTATTTCCATAGACGTTGTGTATACATTACTGGTTGGTGGTTTGGAACATGTTTTTTTTCCCATTCAGTTGGGAATAATACTCCCATTTGACTTTCATATTTTTCAGAGGGGTTGAAACCACCAACCAGATTATGTATATATATATTACTCGTACTCGTACTAGCAGTAATGGATATTTAGATGATTTTGATACACGTTCTGTATACATTAATATCAATGGCCATTTCAGGAACCTAAATTGGAGGTACCTACCATATAAAAGGCCTATTTTTCAGGCCTAAAATTCAGGGAATATCCCCAGAAAATACGGCCTAAAATATGGTACGTTTACGTACCTCCATTTTAGGATCCTGGAGATCTCCCATTGATTATATATAAAGAACCTTGCGTAGCGTTAACCCGTAGATCCGGCTCGCTGACCTTTGCAGGATTGCATCGAACCCCCTGAGGTTTCATCGGTTTCATCAGGCGGATGTTGCCAGGGTATTGCCAGCGATCTCCAGATCTATCAAGGTCTACAAACAGATCTATAGATATCTATAGCAGATATGGTGAAAATCTCTTGATGTACGTTTTTGCTATGTATCAAGAACATGCAAAATTTCTAAAAAAGAGATGTTCACAGACACAGATCTAATATGATCTAATACTCTTATCTTCAGGATCATAGAATTGGATGATGGGAAAAGGTACAGGAAACCCCAACCAATTTGATGGTAAAACCCCATGGCTTTCCGGTTAAGATTTTCACATTAAACTTTATAAACCAATCCATTGACTAGAATCACCACTATTAATCACTGTTAACCATTATTAACCATTATTGACCACTATTTTCACTGGATTACCCCTATATTACCCCTATATTACCCCTATACTACCCCTATATTTGATGGTAAAAAGCCATGGGTTTTGCCAGGGAAAAGCCACAGATTTTGTCGGATTTTGCAAGGCGATCGCCCGGATCTCATGAGTTCCGTGTCCCACTCCGTGTCTTCGGCCTCGTCGCGTTGGGGAACTCAGGGTAACTCAGGGGAACTCAGAAGTAAAATGATGGGGTCAACCTACAAGACATTGGGGATTTCATGGAATTTCATAGTGGTTTTACCATGGTTTATAGAATGGTTTATAGAATGGTTTAATGATGGGATGATTTGCTGGGATAATGATGGGATAATACTGGGATATTGATGGATATACCCTCTGGTTAATAGCGGTTAATGATGATGAATTGTGACTTATTGGTGATTCATGATGATTTTCATGGGGTATACCCGGCCTGGTAAACCTACAAAAACTATTGAAGCCATGGCCCAGTCGAAATAGTGGATTTCCCCATGAATAGCATGGTGATTTTCCATAGTTATTGTAAACGTTTACCAGAGGGTAACATCCCTTTTATTTGGGTACTTCGAAGGTCTACCAACATCATCAGGGTTCATGAGGGTTGATGATTTTCTGGTGACCTCGCGAATCAGAACAGATTATATCCGGCTAAAGTTTTCTTGAATCCATTCCAAATCACGAAATGTTGCCTGATTTGTCTCTCAAAATAACATTAAACAACATTGAAACCTAAGATTTTGCCGCATCTTAATCTCAATCCGGGTGTAAACTTGATCCTCGTGTGCCCTGGACACGCCTCGTTTGATGGTTTTTGCTGCTTGATTATGAGCAAACGTATGGGATGATGTACTTTTTATCTGAAGAGTTGCGTTTTTTTTTGGCGCTCTGGTAAACGTTTACATAACGATGGAAAATCACCATTTTAATGGGTGAATCAACTATTCCTATGGCCATTTTCAATAGCTTTTTGTAAGTTTACCAGAGGCTATGCGTTCCAAGCCACAGAATTTTCATTTTGTGGTTGATGGTGATGGACACTGTTTGCTGATTTTGGATCTCAGAAAATCACTGTTTAACTTCCATGATCATTAATCATTAATGGTTACTATATAATGTTACTAATGGTTAATCTACTGGTTGAATCAATGGTTAGATTAACCAATCAATATGGTTAATATTAATCATCAATCCTGGTTAATATAATTCACATAATCCAATCTTTCTAATGGTTAATCAATCACGGTTAGTCAATCCTGGTTGAATCTTTTGATCCATTGAGGTGAAATCCGAGATTCGTTGAAACATCAAGAGTTCACTGAAGCTCTCCCATGAATCCATTACCCTCTGGTAAACCTACAAAAAGCTATTGAACATGGCCATTTATAGTGGTTTTTCCCATAAAAAAATGGTGACTTTCCATAGTTATGTAAACGTTTACCAGAGGGTACCCCGTATTGTTGGTCAATAGCAGCATTTTTGGATAAACCCAGAGTCGTGAATATATCCGCAAGTGATGGCCTAAAATAGATAGATGTTTTCGAGATTCTACAGATTCCGAAGCATGGACGTCCTTGCTTCTTGTTTGCTTTACATTTCAAATATGGTCAAATATATATCTTTACATTATGATATCATATAATATTAACTAAATTTCATATTAGCTGCATATGTATATATATATATACAGAATCAGGAACGTTAGGTCCTGGAAAATGGTGCGTTTTAACCCCCTGCTTTGTTTAGGGGTACCTACCCAGTGTCAACGCTTTCAATTTTATAGAGGACCTTGGGGTCTCTGATTCTATAGAGATTTCATGTTGAATACAGCACTGAGTACTAGTCAGCAGAGAGTCTTAGGGACTGCGATTCTATAGTGGGATATGTTCTCTTTGGATGTATGTCATGTTCTTCAATTCTATATAGAAAAGTATTGGCAGAACAAAATGGGAACAAAATGAAACAAAATAAAACAGAGCGACTTTCAAGATCTTTCAAGCATTTTTCACCAGTCTATAAAATCGAAGAGGTTGACAGTGAACACTTGGAGCCTTTGAGCTCTATAAATTTGGGAATGCATAAGGTAAGGTAGGCAAGAGCAACTGGAGCATTCAGGTCAGCTGTCAATGAATGAGACTTGGGAGCCTGATTTTATAGAAGGCCAACTAACCCCCCCAACCAAAAAAAGGCTCTACGAGAGTGACTTGGCGGCAGCTATTCTTTAGAGAATGATGCTCATAAACGACCTCGGTGACATTGATTCTATAGAGATTGTCAACTTGAAAATACCTTGGGGTCTCTGATTCTATAGATGCATTTTCCGGTCGAGGGTCAGGGTCTCCAGAATTATCACCATAAATTTGTCAACACCAACATTCTCACTTAATTCAAAGGGGGATCATAGAAAAAAAATAATAGTTATGATATATATATAATATGTATATATATATATATATGTATAATATTATACATACCATATGATACGGGTTCCTTCCAAAACTTCCCAGATGCTGTGGCACTCCTTGGTGCCCTGGGACGTCGCGGCCTAGCTTTGCGCCGCGGTGGTGTCCGGGAAGGCACGCACGCGTGTGCGTGCTTTTAGCCCGCGCGTTGAGCCGAGGGGACTTGGGATTTTCGCATGATTTTCCAGAAAAGAAATGGTTGGTGGTTTGGAACATGACTGGATTTTTTTCCATTTTCTATATGGGATGTCATCCGAAACCCATTGACGAACTCCATCATTTTTCAAGATGGTTAGTCAACCACCAACCAGAAAATGGTGAAGATGAAAAAAACAACACATGCTGATTGAAGCAGAATATGATGAATATGGGATTCTTAAATAGATTGGAAGAGGAAAAACTAGTCATGGCTCCTATACTCTACTATTCGCCAAAAAATTGGAATTCATCCACAGAAACAAAGATTGAACTAGCCAAAACGTGGGGGATTTACTTAACCAAGAAACCTTGGTGTCTGATTGGTGGTTTGGATTTGTTTTTTATTTTTCCATTCAGTTGGGAATTTCATAATCCCAACTGACGAACTCACTCCATCATTTTTCAGAGGGCTAGGTAGGTATACCACCAACCAGGGGATTTTCACCAACAAAAAATCATGATCCAGGCTCACTGGTGCATCCGAAGAATCGATATCATCCAGTGTCTACCAACATAGAACCGGGGTCTTTTTCGCCTATATGAGTAGATCATTTCATATGGTTATTTCACATGGTTATTTCATATGGTTATTACCCTCTGGTAAACGTTTACATAACTATTGAAAATCACCATTCTTAATAGGTAAAACATTTATAAATGAGCCATAATCCATAACTATGTTAGTTTACTGGAGGGTAAGCATTGAGGTATTCCTGGGACATCCAAGTCTCCTTCGCGACAGGATCCAATCTGGATGAGGGGGTTTTGATGGCCGAAAGACCTTCAGGTACCGCGAGCGGGCGGGAAGGCTGATCGATCTGCCACGACCGGAGTTTGGCCAAGCTCACCAGAAATGATAGTCTGATAGTCTGATAGTCAGGGAAATCATTCCCAGTTTTTTTTTGTAATTCAAGTCAGAGCTGGGATTTATTTATGATTATTTATATGCCTATAGATCTACTGCTTTGAAGCAAAAGAAGGAGCAAAGTTTGGCTGTCTTCCGGCTGATGATCCCATGATGGGATTAACAACTCGTCAGGTCGACCCTTTGGTCGGCTGTTTTCATCAGTTTTTTATTCTTCAGGGATATGACATTCAATCTTCAAGTAGAATCATGATTTCTGAATTTTGGGCTTGAAAGTGGCTACTCAACAAACATGGCCTAAGAAATTCCTAGCATAGATCATTGGCTTATCATTGGAAATGACACCTTTTGGATGATTTGCTGATCCCCAGAAAGCCGGAATTGGTGGTTGCCAGCTTCGATGAATCGTACTGTTTCTGACTGTGGCCGACTGCCAGGTTTGCCAATTCTCGAGGATGACTTTGACATGAGGTTTAATGAATTGACGTGATGGACGTCTCAGGTGACTTTGCACTTCCTTTCCGCCTGGATTGGAGGCAGATGGTAAATTCCTGTTTCCAAAAGCACCATGCTTGTGTTGGTTATACCGACTTATACCACGCTATACCTTGAGTTTGACGTCCATCCGGTCTTTCACAACTTGGCATCTTGCCACAATCTTCCCAGCACATCTGAGCTTGCGCAATGACGTGAACAAGATATATACTCGCTGGTGAAAAACATGCTGCATGAGGTGTGAAAGTTGGATACATCCCCACAGGCCCAGGCCCAGATGACCACCACGCCCAGGGTGATTGGGTGATTTCCCGGCAACAGATGGGTACATCCAAGCCTAGCGTTCCCGTGACTGCTGGGCTTTCCATGGAAATATGAGGTCTGGGACCAAGAACCTTGGCGTTCCCGTGACTGCTGGGCTTTCCATGAAAGATGAGTGAAAGTTGAAGTCACCACAGCTGAAGCAGCCTAGAAATTTATACATATATATCCCTGTGTACATTTCCACTATGAAATGGCTTGACCCATGTTCCATTCCAGGGGCATTTTTCTAACAAAAGGATGCATTTTGTAAGGACATGTTTCTGGTCAACCATGCCATTTTGTAAAAAGCGTGTTTTTTGCTGGGCGAATCATTTTGTAAGAGCCAACTTTCTTTACAAAATGAACTCGGGGCCAATCATTTCATAACGCAATTTTGGGTTCATTTCAGGCAGTGCAAAAAAGGGTATTGAAATCTTGGCCATGTCCAGGAACCAGGGTTTCTTCTCTAATTTTTTTTGGGTTCCACCATTGATGTGTGAAGAACCGGCAAGACACCACTAAGTCAACCAACCAGAAAAGGTGATATCAAACTTTCTGGGATTTTTTCCAAACTTTGGGGACTGGGAAAAAATTGCGGGGTTCCCTGGGGGAAGTTGGACTTGTACAAGTAAGACATGTTTCCAAACAAACCATTTTTTAAGACACAAGCTTATAAGATGATTGGGTTTGGGGCCTGGAAATTAACTTGGGGCAACCATTTTGTAAGGAGCCGATTTTTGATTTTTTTTGGGGTTCACCGGTGTTTGCTGGGGAATCACACCAAGCCTGGTGCCCAGCCCATTTTGTAAACCCCCAACCATGGATGTTTGTAAGGTTAACTCCTGGGTCCCTTACAAAATGGTTGCCTTGGGTCAGGGGGGTAAATGTGCAGGGGGATACATATATAAATATACCATCCAATACCCCTATATAGTTGGGATGTTGGGGATATTCCGACATTACCCTTTGGTAAACGTTCACATAACTATGGAAAATCGCCATTTTTCATAGGTAAATCAACTATTTCGACTGGGCCATTTTCAATAGCTATGTTAAATTACTAGAGCGGTAATCTTTGGATATCTTTGGGTTATTTCAGATGCGAACGGACTCGCCACTTCTTCACTGGCTCAAAAAACACCATCGGCTCCAGACAGAGCCCGGACCGGTTCCTGGGTCCGCCATCATGGCAGATGAAGATGAAGAAGGACTAGGCGATCGTTGATGGATATGCTGGGGGTTTCTTAATGGCTGGGGAATCCCCAAATGCTGCATGTTTTTTTTTCAATGTTTATAATAGATCCCTATAAAAAAATGGGTGATTGGTACCAAAAGCACAGGTTTCAAAACTAAAATGGTCTGTCTAATGACTTAGATGAAACCTCCTTGTGGTGTCAATCTATGAAACCAACAATTTGGTGTGGAGAGGGATGTCTAGCAATGTGGTGTTGGGTGTGGACCTGAAAATAGTTTGTATACTCCCAACACTTTTTGGATATGCATGATATACAACTTAGCCATACTTAGCCCATAATATCTTAAAGTGATGGGTAGTTCATAGTCCAACAAGGCGGTTCTGTTTATTCGTGATTTCTATGTTGTCTGAGTTTTATTATTGTAAACCGACATGGGAATCTCTCGCAACAAACCACGTTTGCGAACGGGGAATGAGGTGAACGGCCCACTCAAATTGTTGGAATTGTGGTTGATGTCCATCTGTACAGGATGGGGCCCCCCAGTCATAAGTTATTAACTATAGTTATATCTACCATAAACCATTGTTAAGCCACTTATAAACCAACTTAGCTATCTTGGGGGCCCCAATCCTGTACCCTCCAGGAGATTTCACATAGCTATGTGAACGTGAATTTCCTGGAGGATACCCCGAAATCACGGTCCATCATATGCCATCGCCCAGCATTCATAGCCGATAGCCACCGAGCGATGGTTTGCCAGGCTATCCGACCATCCTCACCAACATCCGTGGCATCGGAGGTTGTCTGGGTTCCACAGCCGGGCGATTTCACCGGAAAAATCACTGTGCGCAAGCAGGGGCGACCAGCAAAGCATGGCTTGATGGTTGATGTTCATTTTCATGTTGCCAGAATCTGCTGCTGTTTATCTCCCATATCCCATGTTTATGGCCTCATTGTTTCCCTATGTTCCAGCATGTTCCAGCCCCATCTAACCCAGCTGCAGCAGTTGCCATCCCATGATCCGGCTCAGGTCTGATCAATCCTGAGCCTCATGAGCTGAAGTCCTACTATTCCTCAGGCCATCCCTAGCGATGCGTGATGCGTATCGATGGCCATGGGGTGGGATGGCGTGGCGTGGTGTTTGACGCTGGCCGGCTGGAAAACATGGATTTTTCAACGATGAAAAATGGTGATCAAAGATGGGGTATGAGTGGAAACCATGATGGTTTGTAGCTCAGCAACTGTTGATCTTGATATTTAAGAGCGGCCAGAAACCCTGGATGTTGGGGATGGAATTAGACATGACTGTGACATACTTTGACCGGAGGACGTATATGGAACGGAGGATGGGATTGATCATCCTGACGTATATGGAATATACAATGTTATCATTCTTATTTTTAACTGGTTGGTGGTTTGGAACATGAATTTTATGACTTTCCATAATTGGGAATAATTAATAGTCCCAACCTACTTTCATATTTTTCAGAGGGGTTGAAACCACCAACCAGATTCTTAGTTTTAAAGATTGTTTGAAAGCCCTACATCCTATCTACTTCAGAATGACTAGAGTTTTAGGAACACTTGTTTACATTGGGTTGGATACGTGATTGCTTACTACAAATCAGATGTCCATCATTCTCGGCTATACTGATGGCAGCCACACCATTCGTACGCGAGCAACTGATGATTTGATTGGATGGTGATACACATGACATGGGTTACTATAGGATTCATACATATTACTCTGGTAAACTAACATAGCTATTGAAAATGGTCCATTTATAGTTGATTTACCTATTAAACATGGTGATTTTCCATAGTTATGTTAGTTTACCAGAGGGTAGTGTGTTTCATGTGTACATAGACCGTTAATTAAGACCTAATGTACGTGTATTTATTGGTTGCCAGGGCAACACAGGGCCGAGTACATCAGCCATTTGAGTCTTATTTGCAATGCCCTATATGGAATTGGATTAACCCTGTGAAGGTTCATGGGATTAATCTTAGGCATGAAACATCGGCAACTTTGCTAGATGGGGATTTTTCATACCTCACAGATCTTCAACCCAAGTCGACCCATTGAATTTGGGCATTCCAGGCAGCAGTTTGTGTTTACTTAGGTGAAGGTGAGCAACCTCAAACTTCTTCGACAGAAGCTTCATGAGGGGAAAATTTCAATAAACAGTTCCAAGCAATGGGTTGGTAGGTGCACTAAAAAAGATCGGTATAAATGCCCTCTGGTAAACAAACAGTTCGCTATTGAAAATGGCCATAGAAATAGTGGATTTAGCCATTGAAAATGGTGATTTTCCATAGTTATGTTAATGTTTACCAGAGGGTACCAATAAACACACATTTCCAGGGGCTGTGTCGATGAATTGAGGTCATGAGTGGTCATGACTTGAGGTCATGAAACAACCCCAGGGCCCAGGTGTAGCCACGTGAGATTTGGTGTATACGAACATCAAGATCTGCTAGATCTGGGGTGGATCTGGGGTCTTCTTTTTGACCATCCCTACTGGTCCTGGGATCATGATTCCCAATGACAAAGTCTAGTGTTTTCCGAGGCTTTTCCCACATGTGTATATTTATCCTAGAGCAATACATCAATCTGGGTAAATGATAACGACCGAACCCTGTTCTCCTGAACCCTGGAATCATGGTGAATGTTAGGGAAATCATCCCCAAATGGCCGAACTATTCAGGTTCGTGAAATATGATAATTTCTCCAGATCAATGCTGAGGGTGTATACCTGTGGCGTCAGGTCTGAAGGTCGAACTGCTGGCCACGGCACGAGGCGCGAAAATCAGCGTACGCGTGGGTTAGAAGGGTTCCAGCGTGGCGAGTTCACCAGCAACTTGGGAGTTCACCAGCAAAAATGGTGGTACCCTCTGGCAAACTGTCACAGAACTATGGAAAATCACCATGTTCAATGGAAAAATCCACTATTTTTATGGCCATTTTCAATAGCTTTTTGTATGTTTACCAGAGGGTATAGTGGTGGGGATACAATGTGAATATAATGGGATATGACTCTGATATGACCAATGTGTCATCATTGCCATAGGCGCATAGCGGGCTGCTGGGAAATCCCTGAACGAATGATCAGGTCTGAAAATGGGAAAAGCATCGTGAAATAATTGGGAATTGTTCATTACCACATTTGATTACCACGGGTGTGTTTCTTTTCATTTTGGGAGCGCGTCATTTTGGTAGTAAATATGGACTTTCCGAATACATCCTACTAAAAGACAAACTCTTAGCAGGGGATCAAAGAATTGGTTGTGGTTTCATGTTTGGCATGTTTGTTGATGTTCTATCCCTAGAAATGGAATGATAATCCCGATTAAGTATTGATTGTGTATGGGACGTGTTGTAATCGATGGGGATACTGGCCAAAGAACAACACATTCTTGGCCGATGGTTTGAACGGATACTGATTGAGATAATCAGCCCATTTCTAGGATCCCTGTGATGTAAATTTAATTTAGTTCCCAATGACAATAGATGAATATTGATTAACCATTCACGACCATAA